AGCTCTGAATGAACAGCGCACATGGGATTTGGTGCCCCTACCCAAGGGCCGAGATCCTATTGGTTGCAAGTGGGTGTATCGCATAAAACGGAATCCGGATGGCTCCGTCTCTCGGTACAAGGCTCGTCTAGTGGCCAAAGGGTACCATCAAGAGTATGGCATCGATTATAAAGAGACGTTCAGCCCGGTTGTCAAGCAGCAAACCATTCGTCTGGTACTCACTCTTGCTCTACACTATGATTGGCCTCTTCATCAGCTTGATGTTACCAATGCCTTTCTCCATGGTACACTCGATGAGGATATTTATATGTCTCAACCACCGGGCTACGTCAATCCCAATAGGCCTGAGTTTGTTTGCAAGCTGCGCAAATCTCTGTATGGCCTTAAACAGGCTCCTCGTGCTTGGTACACCTGTTTTGCTACTTTTTTGCAGGGACTTGGCTTCCAGTGTTGTCGTCATGACACCAGTCTGTTCACTTTTCACAGCTCCCGCGGCATGGTCATTGTTCTCCTATATGTTGATGACATCATTATTACAGGGAGCTCCTCTGATCTCATCTCTGCTGTTACTCAGGCTATGCATAAAAATTTTCGCCTCAAAGACTTGGGCCCTCTTGATTTCTTTCTTGGCATTGAGGTTCGTCGCTCTGCGGATTCTATCTTGCTTCATCAGACAAAATACATATTTGATCTTCTTCAGCGGGCTGGCATGACTGATTGCAAACCCACTGTCACTCCGATGGCGGCGCGGCCAACCCAGGAGATCTCGTCCACCTTTTCCGACCCAAAATTGTTCCGTAGCCTTGTGGGTGGTCTGCACTATCTTGCGGTGACTCGCCCTGATATTCAGTATGCTGTAAATCGAGTTTCTCAAACCATGCATAATCCTACTTGAAGGGTACTTCTTCTCATGGCCTTCTATTCAGAAAAGGCTCTCTTGATCTTGCTGTTTATTCTGACTCTAACTGGGCTAACGACAAAGATGATAGTCGTTCCACCACTGGGTATCTCCTTATGCTGGGGCCAAATCTTATCTCATGGTGCACAAAAAAAACAGACTCGCGTCTCGCGCTCCTCCACCGAAGCTGAGTATCGCGCTATGACCGCGGGGGTGGCAGAGGCGATGTGGCTTTGTTATATTATGGATGCTCTGCATGTTCCGCCTACGAAACCTAAGATTTATTGTGATAATGAGTCCACAATCTGTGTCACCAAGAATCCTGTTCTCCATGATCGCATGAAGCATGTTGGCTCTGACTGTCACTTTGTTCGAGACGAGATTATGGCTGGCACTATGACTGCACATCATGTTCCTTCTTCTGAGCAGCTTGCTGACATCTTGAAAAAACCGCTTCCGCCGACTCCGTTCCATTATTTGTGTTACAAGCTGCCCCTTGTATCCATTGATCAGCTTGCGGGGGGATAATAGGAAGACTCCTAATATTATTTAGTTTCCTTATTCTTGTATTACCATAATTACTTTATTCCTTTCCTACTAGGAATAGGACTCTCTCTTGTAATCCCTATATATAGGGACATATCTCTCAATATTCAATAAGACAAATTATTATCAAATTGTATCACTCACAATGCTGGGAATCAAACGTTGCGTCATGTTGCAAATCTACCCCTTCCCGAACCAACTGGACTGGACTATGTTGTGTGGGCAAATCCCATGCTTTATTACTCGCTCCGTGACATAAAAATTTGAGAAACCACCCTAAATATAAACATAGAGAAATAAAAGTATCAAAATAGGAGTTCCATATTTTTATTATCTAAATAGGAGCTCGCACCGTGATAATGTGGCACTGTACGTGTACAATCCACTAAATTTTTTGGTAATGTACGTACATGATCATGATTGGACATGTAAATATTTTTTAACTCCTATTTTTGGAACAAAAAAATAGATCTCCTATTTTGATATATTTTTAATATTTACTTTACTTTAGTCTTTTTTCCTTAAAAATTTTCATACTTACTTTTGAATATTGGAATTGGCCCCAATGAGATCGCAAGTTATGGGCCGAGGAGGGCTCTGATACGGAAGAAGAATTATACTCCGTATTATTTATTTAGTTATTTATTAATAATATATATACTCCTTCCGTTCCACAAAACCATTCCGGTTATGACTTTGGGGGAAAATAAGGAAAGTGTAATTTTGGCTGACTTTCCAATTTTGTCCCTGATGTGATGGGAAAAAGTAAGATGAGATAATTTGGTTATTAGTGAAAAAATATGATGTGATAGGTAGGGTATAAAAAAATAAGGGTAAAAGTGTTTTTTTAATAGAAAGTGGAAGTGTTTTGTGGAAAGCAAAAAAACGAAAGAGAAAGAGTTTTGTGGAACGGAGGTTATTTAATCATGTTTATAATTTAGTATGGGCCTGAACCTATTAATTAGGTCGATTTGGATTTTTCTCTCCCTATATATTGTAATCCTATATATTTATTATCAATCAATGAATACAGAAATTATTCACGATCTTTCTCCATCTTCTTTTGGATGCTGGAAAACCTTCGAAGTCTTCCATCTTTTCTCCATCTTTGTCTTGGACCTTGAAGAACACTCGAAGTTCTTTCCTATTTGATACTCCTTTTTTCCCTAAAAGATGTTTCTGTTTCATTTTTCATGCATCTCATAAAATTTTCTACCCACATCTTTTAATTAAGGATTGAGAGAGTACAATTTTTGTATAAGTATATGTTAAAAGTGCATCCCACATCAGAAGTTCAAGAGTAAAATAATCGGTATATAAGCTCTTGAGTTGAACTAACTAATCGATTGAATTCAATCTGTTAATATGGTTCTGTCCAAGTGTCTTATTGCTCAATCCAGTTATTCATACACTATCCTAAATTCCATCAGTATACACTCTTTATTTCTTCTAAGGGCTAGGACCGGTCCTAAATAGACTACCCGCTCCCAAATAGTGTCCATTTTTAAGAAAGACTGAGCAGACTTGTTTTAAGAAAGACAAATTCTATTGTGGCCATTGACCTACATACGAGCAAAATACGTATTCTTTTACTTCTTAAATGAGCATTTATTTTTTAAAATAAAAACATAAAATGAATATGTTTTTAATAATGTGAGAAGATTACAAAATTAATATGCATCCAAGGTGACACCGGACTCCTGATAATACTCGTGTCTCTAAACGACAGGTGTCCGATCCTCCGATTCTTTTCCGAATCTCCAATGCCATAATTTAAATGGACGTTACATTAAAGAGTTCTAAATTCTCCGGCCAGAATATATGTTTTGTGTAGCGATTGCAACTAACAAAATCAGAAATGCCTAAAATTCCAGATGATATTATTCGTTATTAGCTTTAATTCGATTAGTATTTTATCGAACTAGTTTACCGGCCGGCCAGGAGTAATTTTCCTCCGTAATGAGTTGAATGGGAATCAAATCCAGAATTAAATGAGATGCTTTACATACCTATACAATATAATTAAGCTTTCCAATTAAGTACACAAGTTGATCCTCCTTTAAGCTACATGATAAGTTCCAAGATGCTACTAATTAAGATCATACCCTTATGATATGTCACACCAAGCATAACTTTACTTGCACCCCCCTTTCATAAGTTTTCATTCAATTTATTTAACTTTTCACTGTCTCTATTACAAAAATTAAAAGAAAATGAGTAGAGTTTATGAACTTATTTTTAATCTCGTTTTTTCAATTCTACCACATTTTACGAATATTCCCAAATGACTTATCTCTCATTTGAATCAATTTACTTCTACGATAAATAATTGACTTATAAGCAACATATAAGTTAAAAGTTGGTTATCAGTAATAAGTTAATAAGCATCAGCACAAAAAAATACTCTCTATGTCTTTAATTTGTTTTACAATAATTAACATTATAGAGGTTGGTTCAAGTTAGGGGTGATCAAATTAACCGGACCGACTGCGAAACCAAAAACCGAAATCCGAAATAGCCGGAAGTTCGGTTTCGGTTTCGGTTTCGGTTTTCATGTAAAAATTATTTTCGGGTTTTTCGTTTTTTCGGTCGGTTTTCGGTTTTTTTGTAAGAAAAACCGAACCGACCGAATAACCGATGATTTTATTTTAATTTATTTTTTATTTTTTAAAATAAGAAAATATTTGATTAACACACATGCTTTCTTTTTACTCTTTCATGGAAAACTTTAATGTTTCACTTTTAAAAAATTTATTTGTTAATGTTTCGAACATATTAATAAGAAAAGTGCAATTTTTATATGAAATGGATAGTGTAAATTCAAAAAAAAAAATTAACCTAACTTACTAAATCAATGACAATAGAAAAGTTTTAATTTAAACTAATTTAATACACATCAATCTACCTTTCAAAATTAGTTTCTTGAATTTATATTAAAAAATCAAAATAAAAGTAATTAGAATTCGGTTTTTCGGTCGGTTTTTTTGATGTATGGGCGGTTTTCGGTTTTGGTTCGGTCGGTTTTGATTTATGGTCAGTTCGGTTCGGTCGGTTTTCAACTATGTTAAAAAAAAGTCGGGTTTTTCGGTTTCAAACCGAAACCGACCGAAACCGACCGTTGCTCAGCCCTAGTTCAAGTGAGAACGGTCCTTACTGCGAGAATAGACCTTATTGTGAGAATGACACGTTTTTATACCGTCACGATGCATTTTTACATTGTGGAAGAGCATTTTTGGCATTGGGAGTGAAATTCAATTTATTTACTATAATGCTACCATATTTTTTGAGATTTTTTAAGTTTTCTTTTTTTGAATTTTCAAGTCTTTAGATCTTACATCTAATGCACGAGATGCATTCATATTTCTTTCATTAGATTGCATTCTCACCTAATCATGTGTGTGTGTTTGTGTGTGTATGAGCATGATAAGAAAGCGTCCATTCAAATAAACAATGTGCGGCCCTAAGAAAATCAATTGCTGGACGCCCTTTCTTGAGCAGCATGTAAGACAGCCCATATTTGACCAATGGGTTCCCTAAATTTATTAGTGGGCCGTGTATCCTTGGTTTATGCTTCGGGGCATTCTTTATATTTTAGTGAAATTTCAAGAAAAAGCTACTCATACTCATCCATATAACAGATTTGACATACAAGCATTAAAAGATTGAATCATATCAATTTCAAAAGCTTTTTATTTTTCCCCGAGTTTCTAACAAGGAACTCTAACACTTCACTTAAGTGAACAATCAACAAATTTAATTTGTATCAAAGTGGTTGAGGAACAGAAAATTACTCTAGATTATCCTCGATTTTCCGATAATGACTCGCAGGTCCACATTATCTAAAATATACTCGAGGTATGTTCAATTTTCTAGTAAGTACTCTCAAGTCCCACATTACTCAAAATATACTTCGGGGTCCTTATTTGTGATATTATATTTCGAGGGACATTCCGTCTATTTAGGCGTTACGATTGAAATCCCTTTATTTGAGAAACTGGAGGATTTTATTTAAATTCAATAAAATAATGATTATGAAGGTAAAATTTAGTATTCGTCAAAGTACCAAAACTTATAATCCTCACTGTCAAATCGACAAAATGTACCAAAGGAGTACATTACCACTAATATTAAGGACCCCTATACTATATATTTCAAATAATGTAGAACTTGAGACTTTTTATCATAAAATTAAGGATATCCCGGAATATATTTTAGATTATGTGAGACCTATAAAAGTCATTACCAAAATATCAAGGATAGCGTAGAGTAATTTTCTAGTTGAAGAAATGCAAAAGACTTTAATGACTTAATAATGACTAGTGAGAAGAATAATGTCCAAGTGATGCTGGACATTTAGTTGAAAAATGACTAATAGATAATGACCAATGGTCCTACATTATTGAGAAATAAAAACATATAGTCCTATATTAAGAAAGTCATTATATTTTAGCCCTATTTAGATAAAATTCTCTATTTACTATTGGGTGTGAACTATAAACGTCAAGAACAACAATCAAATTATAAGCAACTCGGCTATGAAATTTTTACAAAGTATTAGACTTAATTCTCACGAGCCGCTCTATAAGTATATCTAGATGTACATCTTGATAAACGAGATAATGGAATTGGAATTAATAGATCAGCAAAATTGTTTACACATTTGGAAATGTGTTTTTAAAGTATTTATATTTTTATAATCTTTATTTATATATAAATTGAAATATTTATGGTTAATATATTTCATTGATAACGTGAAAATGAAATGAGAAATAAAAGAAATGAGACAGGGAATAATTTTTCTTCACGATTCTGATGTGGATCGCAACTCTAGAAATTTGCATGTCATGCTTTAATTGCCTACTTCTTTGTTTTACTTTGTCCCAAATTAGTTTCTTTATATATAAAATTGAGAGATTATGACAAATGTCTAAAATATCCTAAATCTAGTGTGTATATATATATATATATATATAAATAAACATTGTTGACATAAATGAATGCCAAATAATTTGAAATACTTAAAACTCAAAGAGGATTATATATATATTCAGAAGCTGCGGAAGTGGTTCTGATCAGTAGTGGACGGCGCCATTTGCTGTTCCATGACCATCTTTCCATGGCATGCCCCTCCATCATCAACCATCAACAAGGTTGTTGTCCTTCATTATTCAAAAAAAAAAAAACAAAAAGTTTAATAAACATAAGGACTAAATAAATTAATGTAAGCTCAGCTGATGAAACATAATATAATGGTTTTAATCAAAAGCAGTCCGTCCTTACTCGGCGCGGGGACGAGAAGCCCATAGGGAGCTGAGAGCACGGAGGCGGGCGTAGTACTCTCCGATGGCCAAGAAACACCGCACCGCCTGTCTCACCGTCAGTATCCGGCACAGCTGGTGAATCGTCTCTTGCCTCAGGTTATCCGCCTGCAGTGTGCAATTGACAAGGTTAGGGGTGCACAGTCGGGGTAAAAGAAAAATAGTACTCCCACTTAATTAAGAAGAAATGAAGACCACGTTAGGGTATAGTACGTAGACGGTTAAGCCGTGTGACCCTCGGGTTTAGAAAGCATATGACTCCGATACCATGTTGGAATATTGGAATAATGATACGGAGTATTACAAAAATTGATCCATATAGGACTAAAAGGTAGTATGTATAAGAAAGACTCTTAGCACAACCAGAAACTAACTAAAATACAACATCATCTACCACAAATAGGAATACTTAATATTTGTTGTGTAACATACTTAATATTAGTGTTGATTAATTTCATCACATTGCCGAGAAGAAAAAAAACAACACTCCTACTTAATTAAGAAGAAATGAAGACTACGTTAGGGTAGGCCGTTAAGCCGTGTGACCCTAGGGTTCGGTAAGTATATGATTCCGATACCATGTTGGAATATTGGAATAATAACACGGAATATTCCTTCGAAATATTTGATCCATATAAGACTAAAAGGTACTACTAGCACAACCAGATATAGAAAATAGATCGAAACTAACTAAAATACAAAATCATCTACTTAATATGTGTTGTGTAACATATATACGCACCTGACGGATGAAGCCCTCGAGATTGGAGAGCTTGGCGAGGGCGATGGCGGCCATGTGGTGGTTGAGGGCGGCGGCGGAGGAAGAGATGGTGTCGATAAGGCAGTGCTGGAGCTGTTCCAGGCCCTGGGCCAGTGCCTCCTCCGTCTGCTGCGTCGAGTGCTGCAGGCTGTATATTCCCATCACCTGCTGCTCCGTCAACGGGTCCAACTGCCCCACCAGCATCTGTTCCGTCATTGTAAATGGTCAAAAAGTCAACCTTTTTTTTTTTAACGGGAGGGTTAAAAGATGTACGGACGGACCTTGATAAGGTCGGAGGGTCGGAAACCGCCGATCCAGAGGAAGCAGCGCTCGGCCTGGGACAGCCACATTCCGGTGATGAGGTGGAAGACGTCGGATTTTGCGGCGGCGCATTTGAGCCGGAAGATCTCGTCGTAGTGGGAGACGTACCCGTCCACGACCACCCGCAGATCCTCGTCCGACAAGTGCGACTGCATCGCCGTTCTGAGCTCGGACATGTGCCTCTCGTCCTCCTCCAGCCACCTTCCGTACTCCATGTCGAACATTGCAGCCCCTAATCATATCATGCATGGTTCAAAATACATTTTTTTAAGAAATATTTGCACTATATAGCACTAAAACTTAAGCCATTTCTCTAAATAATATAACACTTAAACTGTTTTATTCTCTAAATAACACTTAATAAAGTCCAGAAGGAGGAATAAATAATCTCCAATGATGACAAACATTTACTTGAATAATGACTAATGAATAATGACTAAAAGTACTAAATTCTCCGGAAAAGAGAAGGGTGAGGTAAAAAACTGGGTGTGGGGTAATTTTTGAAGATTGTGGTAAAAGTAATTAAGAGCATGCAGTAGAGGTAGTTATTTACCATGATCTGGTCTTTAGTTAGTAGTTGTTCAAAACAAGAAAAGATCGGAGAAGGTTAGGGTCAAAGATTTGTCCAGAGAGTAGTTACCAAATTTGGGCAGTAAAATTTGTACCCTTTTGGAGTTCAGTTTTATGATATGCCCTCATTCTTCACAAGTTTGACTGGTTTTTTTTGTTTGGGGTGAATGACCTTAGTCCTTATTACCAAGATTCAAGACTTTTGACCACTTCCATTTAAAGATTGGTTCAATTACTCAAAGCTGGTTTAAGTTTTCCTAGCTGACTACCTAGCTACAATAACATGTGACCCCTTACCCAACATGTTTCAAAATTCGTCACGTTTTAACTTTCACGAAATTTAACGAAAAAAAAAAAGACATGCGTACGTACCAGGACTAATGGTTGCACCGACAGCCGGACCGCCTCCGACGAAAATCCCCTGTGAAACAAAAACCAGATTAGTGTGTGTATAAACCAGGCAATTAATGGTTCTTAGTCTTAATTACTCAATGGGTAAAGTACAGTCCTATATATCCTTAAAGTCCACACTAGCTGGCTAATTAATTAGGCCAGACCTGGTAATAATATATGAACATACAGACTACTACGAGGTTAGGTTAGGTTAGGTTATGGAACCAAACCTGGGACCGAGCCATCTCAAGTTCCTGTTCTAGCTGAGCCAGCCGTACCCTACTCGTCTCTAGTTGCTGTACGTAGGCCTGCACACACACAAACCAAACATTTACTCTCTTAAGTCTTAATTACTTCTCAACAAACCATTCTTATAATTACATGTCACAATTTGTTGTGCCTTAACTTACATGTGTCAAAGAGGTTTAGAAATATGAGTAATTTACTTAAATAGGACTAAAACATAATGACTTTCTTAATATAGGATCATATGTTTTTATTTTCCAATGTAGGACTTTTGGTCATTATGAATTAGTCATTATTCAGATGAATGTCCATCTTTATTGGACATTATCTCTCCCACTAAGACATTAATAAATCCTATTTAGGGAATAAAAAAGTTTAAGTCCTAAATTAGGAAAGCCATTATGTTTTAGTCTTATTTAGTGCAAATTTCACTAGAAAGATTTCACAAATTTCCATGTACATTTTTTTTAGTAGGATTTACATGGTTAAATTACACGATCTTCATAAAAATAAACCATGCTAGGGGGTGGGTACATGTGTAGCCCAAAAATATATACATCAAAGTGACACCAACATTTTAATAATTCACACTGACATAAAATACTCGTGGAATAAAAAAATTTGTAGTAGCATTTTGTGTCTGCATGAATCGTCACATTGACACAGCAAAGGTTCACACTTTTGGTATATAATTATTTCTGTACTACTCCCTCCGTTCTTAAAAAACACTTCCGCTCTAATATTTTGCACATTCCATAAAATACATTTTTACTCTACCTAAAATGTCTAAAATACCTCCAAAACAATTTCTACCCGCAATAAACTACATAATAGAATGTATTTTAGACATTTTTTGTAAAAGTAAAAGTATTTTATAGGATGCACAAAAAATTAAGACAAAAATATTTTCAAGAACAGATAGAGTAATAGCTTAATTCAAAAACAAAACCAACACACAACAAATTGTGAGAGGGAGAAGTACAACATGAGAATCAACAATTTGATAATGGTACACTGCATAAACCTTTTTTCTTAGGCGGCTTTTTCGGGCTGCTTCTCTATTTTGAGCTAAACGCCTCAACGTCTGGGACCCAAAAATAAAATTTAGGGAAAAGAAGGGGTGAAATTCGTAGATAAACTAATTATGATATTAAAAAAACTGAAATTAATTGGAAATATATATATATATATATATATATATATATATATATATATATATATATGTTTGCCAGCACCTTAGCGTCAAGATTTCTTTCGGAAGAAGATGAACCACCCACACTTCTCTGCAAAGTAGGCCCCACAACGCAATAACTAAGATTATTAACATCATTAAAATAAATATTAATCTCTCATTTCGTCTCAAAAAAAAATTCCACTTTACACTTTTGGATAAGATTACATTATTTTTCTCTATGCTATATTTTCAGTCCTACAATTTGATTAATTAAGGTGGAACGACCACCCCGAACGCTCTCCCACCCCGACCCGACAAGAAAGTGAGGGGGAGTAAATCATTAAATAATCTAAATTTGGTCCTTAGATATAGAGGGGTCGTCCAGTGTTCGGTGTGCAGAAGGAGTTGTAACAAATAATAGAATTGAACTCTCATGCTGTCGGCCTGTCGCTGCCGAACGTCGACCGTAAATTTAATGGGTTTGAAAATCTCTCCGTGACCCAATTAGTTGAGCTACTGATGGCTATAAACCACCGAGAGTATGAAATAATATAAAGTTTTAGAGAGAGAGAGTGTGCGCAAAGTGGGAGTATATTGAATTCAAAATTCGGTCCCATTACAATGAGGGGTGCCACCCCTTTTATAGGGGTAAAATACACTAAGTCAAAGCCCTATGATCGAGGCCCGTCGTTTAGCGGACGTCACCTGTCCTTAGGTCTTGTCCCTTTCATCCTATCGCTTTCACCAAGTCTTCGTTGAACGTCATTTTCCGCCCGTCTTGTCCCTTTCATCCTATCGCTTTCCTCAAGTCTCCGTTGAACGTCACTTTCCGCATGTCATTGTCGTTGGGCTCGGGCTCGGCTTGGTCGGCCGAGCAGGGAGGACGAGCGGAGCGCAGAGCCGGGCAGGAATGACGAGCGGAGCGCAGAGCCGGGCAGGAATGACGAGCGGAGCGCAGAGCCGGGCAGGAAGTTTGGCGGGCATTTGGAAATTTACGCTGATGTCAGCCCTAGGCCAGTGTGGGGTTGTTCCCATCAGCTACCCATGCGGGCAGCGTGATTAATTAAGGAAGATTAGTGGGGGAGGTAGGGTGGAATAATAATAATAATGTTTTTAAGGTGAATGATGGCAGTGAACAGTGTTTAAGGTGAAAAGAGGAACAGTAAAAAAACTGTGAAGATTCTCATGAATCCCCACAATGCCATGTCAGAGTCCCAACACAGCACAAAAAAATCATGTCAAAGCTCCCTTCTCTTGATTTTCTTGGAGCAATTGGCGGGATTTCTTGAGTGTGACCTCACCAGATTTGCACCAGAAAATATGCCCCCAAAAAACAAAATTTAAACTTTTCTTTCTTTCTTTCTCAATTAAACCTTTTTTTACTCTGTCTTCAAAAGCTTAATCATATTTCCTACCATTTTTTAAAATCAATTAGTAATTGACAATTAATAAACTAATTAAATTAACCTTGTGTTGAGAAGGGTGTTTAGAATTAGGAGGAAGAGCTGGATGAGTGGCGGCCGCCATGTCTGCGGCAGCAAGTGGAAGCTGATGATGTTGACTATGGTCAAAGGTTGTACTCAAAGGCGGCGACTCTGTGTCTTCTGTTCTGTTCCCAAAGCATCCTGAATCACTGCTGTCTTCTCCACCTGATCTTGAGCTCCCCCCTCTCTACATCCATTTTTTAGTTTAAAAAACCCATAATTAGTTCTCCAGGATTAATAATGATTAAGGAGTGTTAATATTATTATTCATGTAGAATTAGTTTCAAGAAGAAGAAGGAAAAAAAAAAGAAGAGAAAGTACTAATAACCATTGGGCTGCTGAGATGGAATCTAGCAGGCCAAGATGGGAACATTTCCAGTGTTGGTTCACCTTTATCTTCTGCATATAAAGCTGCACACAATCACAAAGTCCAAAATCTTGAAATCTTTTCTTAAGAAGAAGAAGAAGAAGAAGAACAAGAAAAAAGAACCCAAATTTTGTTTCTTTTCTGCAGGCAGGGATTTGGCATAAAAATCCTACCTTTTTCAGTTTTTACCTTACCCATACAGTGTTTTACTCCAACCATGTAAAAAAGATTTAATCTTGAAACCCAGAACAGGTTTCCTTGTTTGAATCCCACGCAATTCAAGTCTTTGAAGCCAAGAATGATTACATGGTTGGAAATGGTAAAGGGGGTTTGAGGACAAATTCAAACACCCCCCCCCCC